TTGTTTTGTCTCTTCTCTACTCCTCCCTTCAAACACCTCACGTTTCCTCTTCCGTAACTACACCACTCCACACACTGCTCCACACACCCACTAACCCCCTTCTTCCTACGAATGCGCACTACCAAATCAAACATACCCACTTTCCCCTACTTAACCGTCTCCGCACACACAGACCAGTTCTCCCTGACCCAAAACCCTGTCGGCCCGTATCTTTCTTCACAGGCAACTTCCCCACTTGTAACCCCCACTCGCTATCTTTATGCTTATCCCACTTCACAAACCCGCCCCACATTCCATCCCTACTCCCAACTATTCCCACACACGCTTCGAGCAGTCGATCCCTCCCTCTCAATTCAATCAATCCCGACTTCCCCCCTTTCATCCTCGCTCCTTCGCACTCTCTTTCTAAACGCCAGTTATCCTAAACTATCGGTCTTACACGGCCGCACACCTCCGCCATTCCCTGTCCTCCTCCCTTTAGCCAACCTCACCACATATACCCCATGCGATCTTTCCACTTTTATTTCCTTCTCCTTTTCTCCACTAACCTTTCCTTCTTACGGCTCATCTACTCGCCCTTCTTTCTCATTCACTCCTTCCGCGTTCCCCGCATCCACACTTATACTTATAATTATTCCGCCCCGTCGCACCACCCACCCCAAGGCGAATTGGTCTCCTTTCCACAAACCGTCACTTCTTTATTGATCTAATCCACCTTGGGCCCCACCACCGCCCAAGAATCCCACCAATGTCCACTTCACCACTCGCCCCTTCTCCTTTACGAACTTTTTTCATTCGGTTCCACCACCTGTCACCTTCTCTTCTCCTCCCAACTCCCCTTATTCGCGGTCATCGGAGTCGCTTCTCCCACTCACGTTAACCGAACTATTGCCTCCATCTCCCAACTTCCCTTACGCATTGGTCTGCTCTTCTGCCTAACCATCCTTACTCCTCAGCTCCCGATATTCCCCATAGTACCCCCCCGCCTTTAGACCTCTACACTTTAATTGACTCCCGCATCTCACACACGGCGTAGTTATAGGCATATGTACTGGACTCTCCGTGCTTCCCTAACCTTCTCACTCGCACATAAACTCATCACTCTAACTTCCCACTTTTCACATTTACACATCTCTAACGTTCCCTTATCCTCCCCCAGATCTCCAAACCCGACTTCCAATCGGACAAAGCTTATCTTCTTATGCTTTCTACGACTCCTTTCTATTTACATCTCTTTTGGCTCCCCAGACACCTAATTTCCTCACTTGACTACCCAACTAACCAGGTCCACACCCACCTAACACCTATACCTTACTTAACTCTTCTCCGTTTTTCTCTTCCTCCACGAGATACCTTTTCCTCTCTAACAAGTCTATCCTCTTCGGTCACTGAGCCCCCTTGGTCAATTACTTTTTTCATTCTACTCCCCCTCCTCCGTCTCTTTTCCTCTTCATTCCTTTCGGAACCTCTCTACCTTACCTTCCCTCTCCTAATACTCCCAAGACATTTATACTCTCCATAACACAACTCCCCTCGCTTCCTCATCCCTCGCTTAATTATCCTTCTTACTCATTAACTTTTCCTACGCTTTTTTGATATTCACACAACCCCACTTTTCCTTAACTCCTCTTGATGCCGATCCTTCTTGCTTCACGAACTTCCCCCAATTCTCCCGCCTCCCATCGGATAATTCTTTTACTTTACTCCATCCCCCTACTCATCACTCTGTCTTTCTTCCAATCCACGCCAATCATTCACTCGCATCGCATCCTATTTTCCCCCATCTCCTTTCCCCCCACCTCGACACCACATTACCCCTTGTATCAAACATTCTACTCCTCCCTCAACATCATGCTACTCCTTACTTTCATCGACTGGCAACCACCCCATAATCTTGCTACGCACTGCGCAAACTGCTTTCACTCACATCATAACCTCCACCTTACTCCCTTCTTTTCACAATTTTCTCAGCACTCCATTTCTCCCCTCAGCTCTCGGCAGGATCCCCTAAAAAACACCACTTTTCGTCAATTTTGCCCACATCTCCCCGCCTCCGCACTCTCTATACTAATTTTCAACTCATCTGGCCCTCACACTCGCCCCCAACGGTTCTATCGGTCCTTCATCAGCATCCCCACGTCACAACATTCCCATTCTACAGCTGAATCCCTAGAGCTAACTCACGTACGAACACATCTACTACACTTCAGGTGGTACCTTCTTTCGGGCCCTCCCCCCCCACCCGCTTACTTTGCTTCCTTTCATGCAACACGAACCCTATCCTACTCCCAGAACTTCCTTATTGCAGCCCTCACGTCTACCTACACCCTTCTTCCATTCCCCTTCCTCCAAGTCCCCCTAGCATTTCCTCCTCTTTCATGCATACTCTTCTCAACTACACTCACCTGACCCTACTTCCCACTCTATTTAACCTGCTTCCAGGATACTGTACTCCGCCCTTATTCTTTTCCTTGGTCCACACTCCCCCAGATCTTCTCAATCCGCCCAACTCCACAAACAAAAACGTCGACTAGGCAAGCCAAGGAGAAGCCCACGATTACGTACTGTATGATCAAGTTCAACAGACAAACGTGTACTCTGCCCTCCGCATGCTTCCCTGCACCCCAGCCCTACTAAAACACCTACTTTCTTAGAAATAAACATCCTGCCTTCCTCCGACCCTATTCTCCGATTACGCACACCTCCTCTGTCAACAACGTCCTAACGCCCCATACTAACCTTTCCTGTCCAATCTACCCAGCTTACGCTCCTTCCCTATTCCGTCGCACCTTTACTGCCCTGCTATAAATCGGATTTTCACTATATACCAGCAAACCTTTCACTCCCTCGCACCCCATTCGTCGCAACACCGAGCGGTCTCCGACAAGCACGCCAAGCGCCACGCCCTTCCATAGACACCTTTGCCCTCGCTATGCCACCCTTGCCCGCTCGTCTCCCGACATGCCTTCCTCCAGACCCATCAGCTCTATTTCCCTCCGTTCTCCACTCTCCAACTCTACCTCTAACACACGTGGCTACGCCACCGATTTAACTATCTTATCGTTCCTCTCACGGCCACCACCCAATCCGACTTCCACTGATCTCCTCTACACGTACGAAATAATATCCGCGACCCCATCATTTCCCTTATTGATTCATTCCCATCTCTTCGACACACCGCCTTACAAATACTTCCCTCCCGAAGCCCCTTGGCATAACAACAAGCAAACCTCACGATCACCCTCCATCTACTACCTTCTATAACAGTAGTCACACCTACTCTACTAGCCCCTCGAAAGAACTCCTAACTTTGCATTCACCTACGCACGTACTTAGTTCATCTGGGCAACAGACCGCCGTTTCCAAGCCTCGGACTAAAGATACCCCTCCCCTACGATACCTTCCTCTCTTTCGCCGGCCTTCGCTTCTCCCTCATCCGAGAACTGTCAAGGTGTTCCCCCTACATCATAGATTTCTAACGCCGCAATACCCCAACCCGCCTCAAGCCCATCAGGGCTCCCCTTAAGTCCAAATCATGATCCCAACTTAGCACCACCTTTGATGGCTGACCCTTATCTCGTCTACCTCGCCCTTCCCTCTCCACAAATATCATTCAGCTTGCCATCCTCTCACTCACACGTTACCTCACCAACCTTCCCTCTCCCTCACTCCCTTTGACATCTGACATACTCCTCCTCGTTGCAGGACCCTGAACTCCGGCGAGACAGATCCTTCTTCACATCTCTGCACTACGCCATCCCACGATGACGTCTGGCTGTCCTCCTCTACTCCCGCCCCCTACTTGCTTACCCCACCATCCCCCCGCCTTCCTTAGCAATCTTTCTCCCGCTCAGATGGGGGTCCCCACCCAAACACGGCTCCAAATCCCTCCCCTGCTCCCACTATCCACATATATAATCCAGTCTCACAACTCCCACAACAATCGCAGTCAGGCCACAATGACCACCCCTTCTCCTCTCTATCTCTATCACTTCGCCCTCTTACTAAAGTCCACACACAACCACCCCTCACACCACTCCCTACCTCCGAGGAGTTTCACGCCCTCATATCAAGCTCAACCATACTACAATACGACGACCCCCAACAGCAGAACCACCACAGTTCCCTCCTCTACATTTCCTTTCCTGAAACTCATTCTCACCCCCACCTCACCTCTCTACCATCCTCACTGCCTTCCCCCCTCTACCCTCTCCCCTTTCTCACACCGGGCAACACCCTCCCATGTCATCCTTCTCTACCACTACCTAATTGCCTTATCCCATCGCATCACTGTTTCTTCCATCAAGGCTCTCCTCCAAAACTTATGCAATCAGACCGCCTCGTAACCTCCCCTTCTCCGTTCTACCCCCATACACTCCCCTCCGAAGCTCTATCGTGAACTCGATCTTCCACCTCCTCTACCTCTTTTTCACCACCACTCCTGCCCCTCCCCACACCTCAGCCCAACCCATGTTCGCACTCTATAGCACTTTACACTCTACATCTCTGATTCAATATCCCGAACACTGCCCCCCTAACCTTCATTACGTAGCCCTATTTTCTCTTCTCATACTGTCACTTTACCCCGTCCGTGCAACCGCTTTCCCACCCCGGCCCCCAACCCGAACCTCGCCTCGTAACACTTCAGCCCATACTCCGCGTGTCCACTTATTGTCGCCCATCGGCCTCCTGACATCAAACTTAACTTCTACTCCTACCAGGCCCCCGCCCACAACAGGCACCGATCTGGCACCGACCGACAACCACCCCTTTTCTCTCTCCTCCCGAAAAAATCTGCTCTCGTCTTTGACGCACTTCTTATCCGCACTATAAGATCCCCATAGACAAGTAAAAGCTTTATCACTACACCAAAACCCCGACGGTCTGTTTCAACACTAGAGCTCCCCCTCCCCCTACCCCCGTAGACCCGTTCACATCCCGCTCCTTCTACTCTTCAGCGAACTTCCCTTCTCTAAGTACAATATCCCACTCTCGCCACCATGCCTCCTCCCCCCCCAATTTTTCTCCGACCACCACATACGTATCCCAAACTTCTGAACTTCTCCTCTATAACTCTCCCCTGTCTCTCCGCGTTCATCTCCAGACACGTGCCTCCGCCTAATCGGCAGCGGCTACTCGTACACCACTGCCCGCTTCCAGGGGATTCCCCCTTCCCAACCCACCCCCTCACCTCGCCCTTAACCCCCCCTCATCTCCCAGCCTCGCGCATCACCATCCCCCCACAGGCGACCCATCCCCCCATACTTTCGCCCGCTGGTACGCACGTCGACCACCTCCACTTCTTACAAGCGCACTCCCCACTCCTCCGCACCTCTTTATCAGCACCGGCACCGCACACCCTCCTCGGCCTAAGTCCGCGCCTTCCTTACCTCACACTCAACTTCAACCTCACCGCCCCCGAACTTACCTCACTTATAACCGAAAGCTTACCGCCATAACCACTAATCTCCATGCCCAGAATTAGTCAACACCCCCTCCGACACAACCCCACCCGCACGCCCCCGTTACCCGTACTATTAATACTCCACTGTTTCTTTTATCACCTACCACACAAAACACGAATAATTTCTTTCACTCACGGCCCTTTTTCTCCCCTTACCACCCATGTCCCCTTCTCGCCCTTAATCATCCTCAATATTCCCTTCCATCCACAACCTACTATACTTCATGCCCCCACCCCGGGTACCTAACCGCAAGACTTCCTTTCCTTCCATTACAAATCAACCTCAAATCCCTATGTCAGTCTCCGCTTCTCCTCCTCCCCCCCACTCGTGCAGCATCTCCCAGAAACTAACCACTTTCCCCCCCCCAAGTACACAAACAGAGAAAAACAGAAGCCTAATCAGACCGCCCACTCTGACCGCTACCCCTAATTCCCACCAACACACTCTTCTAATCAGAGTCTCATGCACTTAATCTCGGTCCAGCATTCACGCTGCCATCTACACCGCCCTTCCCCTACCTTAACACCTTTACTCCCTCCGTTCCCGTCTCTGCCACCTTTCAACGCCTTACATCTCCACCCCCAACTCCTTCGGCCGTGTTCACCGCGAACGCTTCTCCTCCTGCTCGCCCCCCCAGCACCCCTGGTCCCCCGAGGCGACATACTATCAACAAACCCTCCTCGCAGAGTAGTCCACACCTTTGTTTCCCACCCACCAGGCCACCTCTATATCAGTACACTTACGATCATCCCGCCACGCCCATTAACCTCCTCGACCCCTGCTGCCCCGTTTACATTCAAGCCGCACTCCCACATCCTCATTATCCTTACCAGCCCCGCCAGACACGTCCCCCCCGATTTCTATAACTGCGACACCAGACATCCTTCCTCGCCACACACTCTCTTCGGACACCCGCCCGCTCTCTCCTTCACCAAACATAGCCCTAATCCACGTGATTACATCCCCATATTCCCATTTCCTCGACCACTCCAACAACTATCCGCGTAGCCCCCCGACACTTTTCCCGGCCTCGCTTGCCTCTCCCCACACACGCTGTAGGTCACCTCCAATTCTCCGACGCTCTGACACAGCCAGCTCCTTATTTGTCACATCGAACTCCACATCCATCACCCCACCCCAAAATACCGCCACATACAGCATCCCTGCCAAACCCAAGCCCAGCACAACAAACCCCGAGTTCCACCTCCAACATAACTGGCCACAAAACGTGGTACGACACCGATAATCACGTAGAGGCCACCAGACCAAGTAATGTACTAAATGTTCTCGGGTCCACTTACAGCCTCTCATCTTCCTGACCACTCCCTAACCACAAGAACCTGCTCGTCAGCGACCCCTCTTCTTCGAAAACGAGACTCCCTCACCCCCTTACGTCCGCTCCATCCGTCCACTACACACTCCCTACCCCGATCCCTTCACGCCCACCCAGCAACCACAATCTCTGTCTCTTTACTCACGCATTGTCGGCCCTCTTCAGTACCTCCTGATCCACCTGGCCCCTAAATTACTTACCCAACTCCCCCGGTCAACAACCGGCCGCCCTCACTACGGGGGGGGGGCACACACCCACCACTACTCTACTCCCTGTCCGCCTCCCTCCCCACCCAAACGCCAGTGCAGTTCCTCTAGACCTCCCTCCCGTTAAAACCTCCGTCGTTCTATGATAGAAAAACCTCGCGCCACACCCTATGGGACCGTACTCCCCCCCTCCCCGTGTGACATCCCTCGAACCCGTACCACTCCCTCGAGAATCTCGATGACACTCACCTCACTTCACAACTCTCTAATCTCCATCCATCTACACACACCACACCCCGGCATGAGATAACTATCCTTTCCGAGCTCCCAATCCTACCCCCTATATCCTCCCGTAGACCTCGATCAGATCTCCCCAACTAATCCCCGGGCTCGCTATACATTACGGAAGACCACTTAACGCCTATACATTACCAGCTATATCGTGTACGTACCATATACGTGACACAACACAGCACAACACAAACAGGCTCCCTAAAAAACTAAGAGAGCCCCAGCGAACGCACTCCACGAAAAAAACTGTAGGAACACCCCAACAACAGAGAGTAGCGATAGCACGACACGCTCCAAGGTCAAGACAATAGTGGAGAGAACACCGCAACACATACTGCAAAATGGATGTACCACTAGCCCTGTCGCCCTGTAACTCACGCGCTGCCCATACCCTTGACCGCATACACTTCAACCGACCGTGAGCCACGGTCCCTTTGCAACCCGTACTCGTCCCCCCCAACTACTACCTCCATCTAGTATCCCCTCCGAGGATCCCTCTGACAGCGTATATACCCTTG